GGTAAATTTCATGCAAATCTGGTAACAAAAAAACATTTTATTGTATTTTAAATTGAATGACAAACAAGGTTTCAATGATGCATACAGGTTAATGATTAAGAAGTCTACCCACACACATTGATCAATGAAAAACACAGAAATCATGCTAATTCACAATGTGTCCATAACTCATAACTTTTTCTATATGTGTACCCTTTTCTATGCATGTTACAAAGTTTTACCGAATTTCATTCAAAATACAATTCAACTACTTTATTATGGTTATATACAAATAAACTTGGCATTAAAACATAGTTAGTAAATCGATTTTTAATATTATGCAAGTTTTAAGTTCATAGTTTTATAAGTAAATCTTTAAAAAATACTCAAGCTCCTCTAGTATGAGAACTGTGACATTTGCTCTCCAGGTCTTCCATTTTCTTTAATTTATTTACCACCCCTCCAAGAAGTAAGGAATTTAACATTAGCTACTCATTATATTATAGATATTACTTAGGCAAAGCATAATTTTGTAGTTTTTAATCTTATTTGTTTAAGGAGCCATAAACTAGAAAATCAAACCAAGTAGCTTCACTTACCTGTCACATCTTCTCTTTCACAAATTGTCAATAGTTCTCTCTGACATTTTATACTAAATTATTTATACCCAATATAAAGATAAAGTTTTAATCTATCACACCACATATTATATTATGTTGTTTTCCATAAAAAACATTGTTTATTTCATCATTCAGTTTTAAGTTTTTTTTCATGGGAATTACATCTGTGGGCTCAGCTGAATTTTTAAAGGCTCTTATTGCATAGCTAGAAAGCCAGAAAAACTACAACAGTTATAGGACATTGTTTGCTTTTGCATATTATTATTCAGTTTTCATAGATGCATTATTTAATTATATAAAAAATTATTTAGTGTAGTAGTACCATTAATATAAAAAAATTAGGCTTAAGTTTCATCAACAGTCGACAGCAAAAAAAAGAAGATCCAGGTAAGAACAATATTTCTTGTTTTATATGTGTATTTTTAATCTTAACATGAAAATCACTTTGCACATAGCCTATTCAAAACAAATACTCGATATATTCATGGACAAATCTTTATTAGATTAAGAGAGTTAACCTCCACTATATCACAAACTGCAATTGTGTATCTTATGTAGTTCTCATTCTATTAAATTAATAAAGTGGTTCAATAATTTATGGACACCCAGTAGAATAACAGCTTCACTTTGACAGTTTAAGAGTACCAAATCACTCTACAGCATAAGTATTATGTCCCAAATATATATCCTTTTAACTACTGTACTATACATTTAGTAACACAACAAAATTCAAATAAACTTACAGGTGATGGACTTAGTCCCACCACTACTCTAACTATCCTTGTACAGTAAGGATTTCCACTTCCATCTATCTGAAAAAACAAAAAATAAAACATTCATAAACAAGAATTATAGGCACTGACTATATATGAAGCTAAAAACATGTTACTGCAACACAAAAAAATTATACATCCTAGCATTTCTCAATACTGTCCATACTAGATTAAAGTCAGTATGATTGTAACACATATAGATCACATGCCTCCCCTACTTCCATCAACTAAATTTATTACAAGAACCAATCATATTACATTTTAGTCCTCACACCACTTTTGTAAACTTAAAAGTATTTGTTTAACCTAAAATAAATACTAAATTTCTTAGAAAATCAGGTTTCTGGAAACTTATGGATATATGTGTTTGGCCATTTATATCAACAGTTTCTCTTTCATTGACAAATCAAGTTTAAATTTTAAATGACCCTATTCCCAAGATGTGAAGCTGCTTTTGTAAATTCCAAGCAATGTTCAGGTACCAGAAGTTTAAAAAAATGTATGACTGTAATTTTCAAACATACAGTTTAACCTTTGTGTCTGAAGCATGTTCTGTGCATGTCATGAGGTTTTAGTGAGTTACATTAAAAATTTAAACTATTTTCATGGTATAAACATAGCATAGAAACGTAGCTAATAATCCATATGTTAATAATATAAAAGGTTTAAGTTCTTACTTTTATAAGGCAATGTTAAAAAAAAATCTAGAATTTCCCCCAGTGTGAGAATTGTGAGATTTGCTCTCTAGGCATCCACTTTTCTCTAATTTATTTACCACCCCTCCAAGAAGTATGAAATTTAATGCAAATTACTTATCATAATATGCATAATTTTTGTAGCCTTCAATCATATTTGATTACGGAGCCATGAAATAGACAGCCAGACCTCTTTTGCCACACCCACTGTCACATCATCTCTTTCAGAAATTACCAATAATTCTCTATGTCATTCAATACTATATTACTTATAACCAATAGAAAGCCAAGGTTTTTATCTATCAAATGACATATTATATTATGTTGTTTTCTATAAGGAGGGAATTGTAATTTTGCTTCCTGTTCAAGATTGATTCCCATGATTCACATAGTTAAAAAAGCCTTAGTTTTAAGCTACTTAGGATAAACAAATGTAGTTTCATATTACAATTTAAAGTCATTCTAGAAAAAAAAAAGGATAATTTAGATTCATTTCGATTTTTTTTACCAACCATGTATAAAGTTAGGTAAACAAAATAACAGATAAATTATAGTTTTACTGGAGGTAAAATACTTTAGGAGGTTTTAGAGATTGTACAAATACAATTTGAGATTTTTGAGACAAAGAAAAGTATTTTTTCTTAACATAGAAACAATTACTTAGTACTTGGACTATTACAAAGAAATACTAACTATATTTATGGACAAATCTTTGGTAAAAACACTTTATTAAAAAATCTGATTTTTTGTGTACAAAGGACTTGTAATGTTTACTAAAATTCTGAAAAATTTCATGAAGATACAAAAGGTGTATTAAAAGTTATAATTTGGAATCTATAACAAGAACAAAACAGTTATGAAGTTGGTCCATTCAATCAACTTTGAAAAGAAAGAGTTAAGATATGAAAATAGTTTTCATTCACTTTTGAAATTTATTACTTTGTGAATTTAACTTTGACTAACATAAACTGTACAGCAAATACTTTCTAGCACATACACATGAATTTTGATAAGTTTAAGTTTATCTGTACATTTCAATTTAGTCTTAGCAACAAAGTGTAATAAAGTACTATATGCAGATCAATAAGAGAGTAATTGTCTTTAAAAAAATATTATTTCTAAAGAGTAATCATCTTATAATGAGTTCATTATCCTTAAGAGATGATTATCTTTTATAAGACAGAAGCCCTTAAGTTATCATTTTGATAAAGTATTCTACTAGATGTAAAATATAATAACTGTAAGATATCAAGTCATTAATTCAATGTTGACTTCTAAAAATTTACAAAAACATAGTAATTCAAGTTTGAATTTACGAAACAATAAAAGAAATGGGAAAAAAAATGTGTGATAAGAAAAATCTGTATTCCAAAATTTCTGTATTTTTTTTTAATGGTTTATACATCCTCACCTTGTCTAGATTCCATACTTTAAGCAGGGGATTTATACCTGGTTCATCAGCCTGTAAGTGACAAAAAGCAGATAGTTAAAAAGCTTTCTAATCTTGATTGATTCAATACTAACTTTAAGGCTCAATACATTAAGCACACATATAAGTACACTTCTTATATATAGCAACTACTAACAAAGTAGTAAAACCCATACTCATGTAATAAACTCCAACAGTTAGATGTCACACTGCTGGATCTATCATATAAAATGAGGACTCTAGAGCAAGTGTTCAGCCATATCACTATTCAATGGATTTACATGACAAGTATTAAAATCAATTACCATTAATAAACACTTGATTTGGTAAAGAGAAACACTGCAATAAAAAAATAACTGTGAGATAACAGATCTGTATCTGGTGCAAGATTGACAAGTAAATGTTCTTACAAACAACAAATGGTGATGAAAGTTGTGAGCTCACAAGAAAAACCTTTTAAGCCTTCTTACAAAGATGAATTCAAATCTCAGAAAATCTTTACAAAAAATGGTATTTCCTTCATTTTGTGAAATAAATAAAAGAAGCAATAAATAATACATCTAACTGAAAAATTTATTTAGACACTCAATGATTACAATTTTTATGCTGCTTTATATTTGCTTTAAAAAAACTATTTTATCTGATTTATGAATTAAAATTTATTATTGATAACATACTATAGACAACTGGTCAGAAAGTTATTTACAAAATGTTCTGATGAAACATGCTTGAAGCTTCCTAGCACTTATGTAGGGGAAAACATTGAAAAACATCTTTTATAATTCTACAGTTGTTGAACAAAGTTGTAGTACTTGTGAATGGTGAAGGAAGGGAGTTAAAATCTCAGTGAACATACTAAATGACAAGGGACAACTTAAAGTGTTGTGTATTACATCTGTAACGAAATGTGTTCCCTATTTGTTCATACAAGATTAGAACACTACCACACCTACAATTTGTTCAAGAATTTTAACACATTCTACAAATAGTGGATTTTATGAAAATGTGCTAATTTGTAAAATATCTTTACCTCTTTAACTCAATTTCAAATTTAAAAAAAAGCTTCTTGTTCATTAAGATTTTAGAGGGTCTAAATAAGTATGAAATATACACTTTAATGTTACTGATTGGTAACTTTGGATGCACAAAAATCAATTTCCAAAACAATTTGCACACCTGCATTGAGCAATTATAGGTCAGTTCTGTGAGACTGTGCACAAAAATGGACCAGGAATTAGAAATAAGTACTAATTGAATAGAAGTATATGAATAAATTTATTGTCAAAGGAAAAATATTACAGCTACTGGATTCTTACCAGTATAGATTGACAAAAACAGATAGCACTTGTGATCATAAGTTAAATCTAAAGCATTTTAATGTGCTTTATCAAGACAAAACCATTTTACACTCCAGGATATAAACACAATTGAAGCCTTTTTACACAAGATTTTATACATAATGTTGAGTATCATAGTTTACAAGATCTGTGTGTGTGTGTCATGAAGTGAATGGTCTACTCTCTCAGAAAATAAGAAGAAAACAGGAGACTTGTCAACCTCAGATAATCACAGAGAAAAAAAGTTGCTGTTGCATGTGCACATTGTACTGGTATTCCCAGCTTTCTGCCTATCAGTCATTATACACTCATTTGTCCATAACACTATGATATCACATGAATATAAAGTCTACATTGCTGCTAAGAAATAACAGTTAGTCTTTAGGCTAAAAAATCTACACTTACACACAAACTACATTAAAAAATAAACTGCGTTCTGGTTTTTAAGTCTAATTACCCCAACAGTAACAAGAATAGGGTTCTGTCTCATTTGTTCTACATGGGAAACACTGAGTTTATAAGCTCTGAATGATGTGATCACCAACTGTCGATTCAAGAAGAATACGTTGCCTTCCACATCTCCTAGCACTATTTGTCCTCGACCACTTGAGCTACAGGTGATGTGGATTTCCTGAAATTGTAAATGTGAAAAATGAGCACTTAAAACTTCAATAGTTAACACAACTTACATTGAAAATGAACCAAATGTCCTTTGTCAAACTTAAAATATATTACAACTATAAAAACTAGTTATACATTAATGACTATAATGTTTTGATATTTCACTACCACAACATTAAACTTAGAATTCATAAAGAACAATCTTATCATGCACAAAAATTATGAAACCAGCAAAACCTAATAGATCATTATGTACAAATATACAATTATCTATGGTACAACATACATTGAAAATTACATAAGATTAAAAGAAGACTGTTCAAATTATAGTCTGAGAGGTTTACAAAAAAGCCTAATCACTCTGTATATTAATGATCAATTATGACTTATTACAATGTAGTATTACCAAAAGGTAATTTTTGTTCATCATTAATGATAAATTGAATTTGGTTGCCTATCTATTCATTAGACTACAAATTCAATATTTACCATTAATTACTACAATTAATGATAAATACATTCACATATTTGATTACCATATAGCTGGATATTAACACAGTTACTATAAACAATTTAAAATATGCTTAGCTGAAATACTTTACTCTGCACGTTAGTAATTTTAGATCATAACTGATTCACAATATTTGTTTATGTTTTATATTATACAATTACCTACTTTTAGCTTATCATAAGTCTGATTTGTCTCACTGTCTTTAACCACTTCTTTGTCAAAGAAATTAAATCTTCTCCACTGCAAGAAAAATAATTAAGATAAATACCATACATAAAAATCTAAAAAGGATACTCATTGCAATTCAATCCATGCTATACAAATCCAGGTAAAAATTGGTATGTTTCAAGCTAATCTATAGACTCCTGTAAAGATCACTAAAATTGTAGTTTGTATCACAATAGGCTGCTTCAGCCAATTTTAAACTGACCAAATGGAGCTGAGTCTTAATTTTGGTTCATATTTACAGAATCTATCTTATAATTCCACATAATCAAAACTAGGACTACTTGTTCAAAACTATGAAAATAATTTTATTTTCTTCCAATATAAACAACTTTGGCATTTCACTGATTACATGCATTTATAATAGATCAGTACTTAAAACATGATGCAGAAAATTTAATAACAAAATATTAACATAAAAATTACATAACAATAGAAACATGTCTAAAGCTTTTGTTAAGGTGGCATTAAGTGTTAATTATAAAGGAATATTATTATGAAATTGATGAAGAAGTTAATATAATACTGGTTGGTGTTAGAAAGCAGTATCAAGTCATTTTTCCAACTGGGAGAATGTGGCTAACGGGATCCCTCAGGGAATAAACATTGGGTAATATTTGTGACAAGAAGCTAGATAGTTACATCAACATTTTCAAATCTGTTGATAACTCTAAATGCAAGAAAATCCTGATTCTAAGAAAAATACTGCATTAATTTGGATAATATGAGTGGCAAACAACAAACACAACTTTCAGTATGATTACTGGTAAATAACTAAAAGCTTTGGCTGAAAAACAGCTAATTATCGCCTAAGGTCTACATATATTAATAGAAATGTTTTAGAATTCAAAGCATAAAGATTTTTCTTAACCTTGATCAAGACTTTGGAGAACCTCAATTTTTAGATTAATATGTGCTATTTAATTTTTACTAGAAAAACATTTGCAGAGATGTATTGCTAGCCTGATTTCTGATTTTTAAAAAAAATTAAGCTACAAAGAAAACCTTATGACATGGAATTGTTTTCTTGGTATAACTTGAATCAAAGGTTTAAATTTTCAGATAAAAAATCAGGTTGGTTTTTAGGCAGGTGTAGGCTGATAAGTGTGATCTACAACCCCAAGTATGCCTACATGCTTTAAAGCTGTAAAAATACTTATTTTCACCTTCATTTATGGAACCTTTACTTGTAAGACTAATCTCAATATTTCAATTTCTTAGAGCAAGAATAATGTATTCCTTAATATATCATATATAATTTTCTGTATAGTTACATTGACCATTTACTTTTTTACATTTTAGAAAATGAAACTATATATATTCAATAGGTTGGCAAGGAGGAATTTGTTAGCCCTTCCACACAGGACTTTCAGTAGCTGCAGTATTTATCATTTTCATAGATACAAGTTTCATATTTCTATTTTTTTGTTTTCTATATCTGCAGCATGAAAATATCAAATTATTACATGGGTTTATAATTTATACAATTAAAATACATATATTTACAGAGTTCCCACTACAATTCGAAAACCTAGAACATTTTGAAGTCCCCCCCGAGAAAGAATTGTGGGGAAATTTAAAAAATTCCTGGGGTATTAGAAATTTTACATTGACTTGCCCAAAATGTTTGTTTGGCTTTATTTTACAAAAATAACACTGTTTTGGAACAATTTGCATGAGATTTTTTCATCACCAATGTTAACATTTATCATTTAACAAAATATTTTCAATGTCTACAAAAATATGCTTAATCTACCAAAATTCTACCAACAGTAACTGAAGGCCATTTCATCAAAAAGTCCTGGAATATTCTTTCTACATAAGAGTAGGAACTGTGTTTTATCTTTTAATACACCATATTTGTAAGTTAGCATTGTTATTGTAGACTACAACAGTACAAGCATAAGGCATAAATAATAAGAACTTCTGATCAGAGTAAGCTAGGTACCCAGAGCAAAACTAAAAATCAACCTGGCCATTAATATACTATTCTTATTTATCTACTAATAAAGATTACAATGCATTGTTTATCAGATGGGTACTCTCACTGCTAATGATATTTTTGGTCATAAACCCAATAATATCTCATGAGGTTCACCCAATTTAAGAGATTTAGGTTACCTCTAAATACAAAATCTAAGCTAACAATGCAAATTAATCTTTATAATAAAAGTATAATAATAGATGACAATTTTAGATGAAATAAAAGTAAATACTTTCAATACAGTAACTAGTATAATTAATTTCATTAATGAGGGGAACAATAAACAGACAACTTTTGGAAGCAGTAACATTTTTACAAAGCTACCAAGTATTAGTTGTTTCAACAATTTGTTTGCCACTGCTATAAGTTTCTGTTGTACGATTCATTGAAATAAAATGTTTTGCATTTCACAATGTGTGGTGATGGTTCCCATTATTAGTGGCCAATCACTCTCATGACATTATGTTGTAAGATTGTCTTTTGCAACTGTCTAATTTTATGGTTCCTGTCCATCCAGATTTTTACATTTAGGCACACAATATTATGTATTTGGTATTACTACAACAAAAATTATTGAAAGTGGAAGTAAGACTGTTACAAACAACACTGTTGATCATGGAAGCCTCATTACCACTTCAGTACCTCATATTTTTTATGTTGCCATATATTAGCAATGAAACAGGCTTAATTTCCCATTCCAACAAGTACATCAGTTTGTGGCAATCATGCAATTATCAATACTTTGTATAGCTATGAAAAAACTGGGAATAATTTCTTTCTGTTATTAAAACTATTTAAATAAAGGTCCTTTTCTGGTCATCATTGTTACAAAATAGCTAGTATATTTGTCTTGCTTTGGGTGTGTTTTAAATGTTTTTAGTTTTTAAAATATCAATTAAAAAAGCTGGTTTTATATTTATTTCAAATTTTAAAATTTTATATCATGCCTATTCCTTTACAAAACAGTTAAATACAATAAGCTGTACACATATACAAGTTCTAAGTGTAACAGTAAAGAGCACAAAACAAGCTAAAGCAACAATTAAGACTATTGTTGAACAATGTTTTACTTTGTGAATAATCTTTTGTGGAAAAAAAAAACATGCAATGTAATTAGAGTTACTGCAAAAACTTTTTTGTTTTTGCATTATTTTATATAAATAAAAAATTAAGAAACTTTCATGAGCTTTTTTTATTACTTAACACTTAATTTCAATAATTAGTTTATTAATTCAATTTTGCATCATATGACTAGGAAAAGTAAAAAAATAAGTGCAACACTGGTCACTAAAAGCTTACCTTCCTAATGTTTAATTATTCCTTCTTAATTTAAAATGCATCATCTTAATCTAAGAACAACTAAAATATAAAAATATTATTTTCTTTGTTGAAATACAACAAATTTTTGAGTATTATAACACTATATTATGTTTGAATGCTAACTTTATATAATTCCCACCAGAAATACCCAACCACCAATCATTTAATGAGTACATTCTTACTCCAAGGAAACAAAAAATAATTTAGTCTTCCTGATAAGCTGCTAATAAAATATCAAGGTATTTCAATTCAAAGAAGAAACTGAAGGAAACATGTTTTAACAATTAGGCCACAAGGGCATTCCTTTAACAGCCTCTAGATAGACATCCCTATACAGAACCTACAGTTGAATTCAAGCTTCCACCTTACATGGGTGACATTGGACAATTGTGCCTTTAGCTCCAAACAGAGGACTTCCTACCATGACTATGACAATACACCCCTACTCAAATTATGCTTACATTTGAGCAAACACAAACAATCCAGTAACTTTATAAAACTTCACTGAAAACATTATCAGTCACTGCACTGGGCATGAACACACAATTTGTCTTTCAAAGTTAAGATGGTCTCAATAGAAATATTAAAGTACCAACCAGTAATTCTCAATACTGACCATAACAAAAAAAAGTATCCAATAAATACATAGTTCTTGAAAGCTAATGAAAAAAATGGTAATTAAAATCATAGCTTCACATTCAAAATTACTTAGGTAACAATCTACAGTACAATAAAATTGCAAGCCCTATTTGAAATAATTGGACACATACTAAGGTTATAGTCAAACAAATCTTTCAAAACTACTAGTGGATAATTTTTCTGAGTCTATAAAAGAATGTGTTGCATGTTCTCTCATCTACAAGTATGGTAGTGACTCCAGCCAAGCTAAGGTTATTATGTTACAATTTTATTCTTATTAGTATTAGTAACAGTGTTAACAAGAATGATTCTTTGTGTTTTATCCTGCCAATACCATACTGTTTCTGAGTGTGTTAGTGCAAATTTAACCACTGTACTAGAGTTGTGTGAATAATGAATTAATATTTATAAGTTTCAAATTCTCTGTTGTCAAAGTGTGTAGTCACTTGTTGAAATCTTAGCAAGTCCAAATTTTGATTTGCATATACCAAGGTGGTGTCAGGTAGAGTATTCAAAGCAATTTGCTCTGATTCAAAATTATTTCTAATTAACTCAAGTCTGTACAAACTGACAAAAGTGAACTTTGACAGCATAAGCAGTGGAGGTTTATTTGTATATGGTCTGTTTATTTTATAAAACATAACCAAGAATTTAGATAGTATTAAGAATGTCTACACTTATAGTTATAAGTTCTACACTCATTTCGGTATCATGGACCCCAGACTATCGTAAGACCTGATGTCTATGTCGAAATAAATATGATAAAGGATATGGAGCATCTTGCATCTTAAAAATAATTAAAATCCCCGTATAAATTACGCAGCTTAATCAGCTTAGCGGCAGCTAATAGTAATAGTGCTAATAGTAGTAGCACGCGCGATGCAGTTTTATTTACGACTGTATCACAAAACCTGACAAATTCTTCCCATGTATGAAATTAGTGGTGGCAGAAAGTATAATTACAAATCAAATTCAAAAAGAAGTTCATGCAATTGCAAATGAAATACTTCAAATTAAATCAGGATTTAGTTAATCTCCAAAACTTCCTTGTAACTATGCTGTTATAGAACAAATTATATAATTTAAAAGTAGTGGAATCATACCATTATCATAATGGTATTAATACCAAAACACTACAGGCCTAAACTTTAAGAATTAGAATATGAGACAGAAACAAATACCTGCAAGAACGCCATCTTTGCCACCCCTAGACCAACACTCCACCTAACGGTGAAAATGATATGTAATATAAATCTCTTTATTTTCGGTTTTACATTTGTTTTGTTTGTTTGTTTGAAGTTAAGCACAAAGCTACACAATGGGCTATCTGTGCTCTGCCTACCACGGGTATCGAAACTCGGATTCTAGCATTGTAAGTCCGCAGACATAACGCTGTGCCATTGGAGGTCTTACGTTTGTTAAAAATGCACATAAATTTTTAAAACTATCTGGAATAGCGCGAATATCTGTTAAATTACTGAATTTTCATGATTAGTATCTATGCTTACAAGCATTTCACTAAAAACACAAATATCTTAACGGAAAGTTCCTGATTAAAAGCCACCGATACTATAGCTACCCCTAATAAGAGATCCCCCTCTAATGAGTCCCCCGTTGGGACAGCGGTAAGTCTACGGACTTACAACGCTGAAATCCAAGGTTCGATTCCCAGCAGTGGACATAGCAGATAGCCTAATGTGGTTTTGGTCTAAAACAAACAAACACGCACACACATACACCACAATGGCTTAGCGGTAAGTTTGAGGGTGCATAACACGAAAATCTGGGGCTCCGTCCTTATGGCGAGCATAGCTCAGGTAGTTCATTATGCATATCCTTAATCAGTGTCAAATTAAAAATGTATTAGTTATGACGAGGGGTATTTGCCGCTTTTAAAAATCGAATCTAAAATTGATAAAAGTGATATATTCTACATAGATGCTTGCATCAGTTCAGTCTGTATCTATATCAGTTTTAAAACTAATAAACAAAGATATTCGATAACTATTTAAAATTTTTGATCAACATTTCAATTTAATGCTTTATTCGGGAAATAATACACATTTCGAAACATACCCGTAAATTTTATTTGCATATCTAAACCAGAGAAAAGTGAAATCTAAAAAAAAACAAAGTAAAATCTTAAGATGTAGGTGTGGTATTTCTATCCAAAGAGTATTGTCGCATACTCGACCTACTCCTGCAAATAGTAAGAGATTCGAAAAAAGATTGAGTACATAATATTAAATCGGTTTTGAATATGCAAATTAGCAAGTCACGTAACAAATACCACCTATATATAGCTGTGGTGGAAGGGTATGCATCAGAAACTGCATTTTTACATATTTTGGTGTTATGTAAGTTCTGTGATGCCACCGAAAATTAATCATTTTTCAGAAGGGTATGTAACAATCACTTCCGACGCAAAATATTGATACACTTAGATCATAGAGACATGTTTGAGAATTTAGAATTTCCAAGACGGGGATATGCCCTTGTACTTGATGACATTGGAAAACATAGGAATATAGATCAACTTGTGCATCACGACCATACAGAAATATACCTGTAACTAGTCTTACCCAATCGTGTGGTACGACTTAGTGCACTTTCTTATACTAGGTGAGAATCCATGAACACAAAAGTCCGGAGCAAAAGACATTCATGCTTCCCAGCTAGGCGACAATACGCAAATAATCAAGAAGGATCTCCATCTGGAAACGAAGCCAGAGTGTATAGGTTAACCAGTATAAGGTTTTGTTTGTTTTGCATTTCACGCAAAGCTACACGATGGCTATCTGCGTTAGCCATCCCTAATTTAGCAGTGTAAGACTAGAGGGAAGG